CGGAGATGTTTCAGTCCATATTTCACCCCAGGCCATGTTTTTATTTGTATACTGAGAAGCTTTCCCCATTCTCTTAAAGCTCATACACCGGAAAATCCCTGGGAACAAGAAGTCTTAACTTTTTGTAAAATAAATGAAACAAGGGGATCTTTTACATTAGTATAATGCAGACTAAAACACCACCTTTCCTTTTTAACCCCTTCAAGCCCTTGACAAGGAATCAAAGAGGAATGAAGATTAAGATGGAATTAAAATAATACCGGGAGGTGGGCGTATAGGAATGGTATTACTTTTTTTTCATCCTGGTAATTTCTTCTGTGTTATTTAGTTTAGTATATCTATGCTTTATCACTCTCTCTCTCTAACCCTGCTTCCTAATATTCTTCTACAAGTCTGATTATTTTTTTTACATCATGTACTTTGCTATATTCCTCCCCGTTTTTGCTCCCTCATTGACTCCCTCTTTCTATCTTTCTCTCACACACACACTTTCAACGGCCAGTTAAATCTTTCTCTGAGACTTTGAGACTAAAGAGTGACACCCAACATAGGATCAATAGGATTCAACAGTCCAGTGGCTGTCAGGTCCTTTTGACCTGCAGTTAAGACTGAAAACTGTCGACACACCAACACTAAAGATGGAAGTACCATGTTACCTGAAGATGATTTAGTGGTTTAGTTTTTTTTTTTTTCAATGCCAACAGAGAGAATTTAATTTGATTCAAAGGCTACATGGGAATAAAGAAAAGGCTTTATTTTTGGCACTTTGTTACAAAAAAAGCATGTTTTAAATTGATTGAAAAGGATACTTGTGGGACACATAAAGCAGCAGTGACATCTGTTCAACAAGCAGAATGCATATCAGCAACACATCCTGTGAATAATCAACGTAATCAAATTCTTTTTAGAAATAAAAGAGGTATATACTCTCTTGCATTGGGTTGTTGCTGACTCCAGCAATTGCGGCTTGTTTTGCTAGTTATCCTTACTTCAAGTGAGGTGGATCAAGAAAACAAAACACTCATTTTAGGATAATGGCCTTCTGTGTCTCACCAGTGGTTGGAATTGCATTCAACTTTGAGGGCCTTTTAAATTTTTGTAGTGGTTATAAAAAGGTCCACATCTGTCTTAAAGTACATGGACTTCAATTCAAGTTTTGCAACTCATTAATGTATGTCAGCGAAAGGCCTATAAACTTTTATCCAAGTTTAGGAACCGTAGTAGAGGCACAATTGCCTCACAACCACTAGGATGATTTTGACAGTTTTATTATATTCCAGAATAATTTGCATCTTCCCTGTGCATAATCGTTACAATTTAGCTGCTGGTTGTAAACGTTCTTTTATCTTAGCCGTCTACTTGGGGAAGCCGCATCGTTCAGTTTTACAATTAAATAAGGTCTAAAGCATAACTGCAGAAGAAAATAATTTCACAAGAGTTAAATCCTTACTGCGTTGACAGCACTGTAAGCAATTCCTCGCTTTCAAGGGTTCCCCTTCTCTAGACCACACACAGTAAAAAATGTGGTGTTAATATGTCAGTGTAAACCTAATTTAATCTAAATAGAGTATTTATAACTATA